TATTTCGTATCGATGTGCATCTGTATATTCCTTCAAACCTCTATTTTAACTGATCATCCCATAATATACTTACTACGTGAACCAATTTATCTTTTTCTTACCTATCGGCAAACCACCTGAAAAATCAAACAAACTTTATCATGCACTAAGCTAGCTAGCCTTAAATTCCACTTGTCCATTTTCTTCCATGTCTCTAATTATCTGCTCATTATTACCTTATGCTCTACACATTCGCCTACTTTTTCTATTATTCCTGATTTTATCCAGACTCCACTCACTCCCGAGGAGTTGTTACAGCTAAAGGAGCTGAATCTGCACGACGCTTGTCAAGCCAGCAGTCGTCGATCACTGAGCCGTGAACTTGCTCTTCTTGCTAGCTTTTTTCAGCGCCATCTACCCACCACTCAGCCATCACCCCCACCACCTCATCCCACCTACTCTCGCTCACGCCAAGTTCATCTCATCACAGCCCAGTCCTGCCCCTGTCATATTACAGACCCACTCAGCCAACAGACCACTAAAATTGCAATCGAAACAACTTCTCCCACAACTGGGAATGCTGCCTCCACGAATAGCCCCTTAGCAACACACTTATTAACACGACAGCACCAGCCACCACCGCAACAACAGGAACAACATCAGAAGCATCTGCAGCTTCATCATCCAGCACTGATACCTTCCCTTGGATCATCCAGCACTACCAATACCTCATCTTCCACCTCTTTCATCTCCACTACTACTCCGATAGGATCAGTATCTCTTGGGGCTTCATCTTGCACTTCAGGCACTTCTACACCGAACACCAGCATCCAGACTGGCAACATTACTGCCACAAGCAGCAGCAATAGCATCCCTTTAACTTTGGCGCTTCTTCCTGCTTCATCTGTTCCCGCAAATCCGACAATTATCGCTTCTTCAATTCCATCTGACTCCTATCCTGCTTGTGGCATCATTGGCGCAACTGGTGTTCGCGTAGCCACACCAGGCCGCATCCAGCCGGTAGTCTCTATAGCAGGTGGGAATTTTGATCAGTTTAACTTCATTTGTTCAAATTTGCCAATAAAGCTGTTATTTGCAATAGTTCACAAAGTGGATGAAGGACTGACAGCTCAATTTCCCCACATTTATGTCGGCAGGCCTCACGATTCCAATGCATTTATATTTATCTCGCTTCCAAAAAGTTTTATTCTTTCGGATGAACTGCAATTTTTATTCACCATCACAACGGGAATCGAAAATTTACTCAACCCAAATGTAAATTCAACAAGTCTTATCAGGGCTTTGCCTTCCTCTTAGCATCATTATTTCGAATGACATCTATGAATAGCCTTATTTCTATTTCATAGATGTCTATTTTTCTGTTATGATTCCCCTGCCACTCCATCATATCACATGATATCCTATTTTATTATTTATCTTAAACCTGTCCCTAAGTGTTTTTAATTAGCCTAACAAATAAGCTTGAGTTTCAGGGGTGCTTAATTATCACAGTTATCTTGATTTTGCATTATTTTTCTTCATTTATCCTGCTAAATTTTTATGACACATACAAACCACTTATTTTGCACTTTGACAGTTTTAATTTAGGGCTACATCCTATTTGAGTTAAATGCTTAATAACGGCTTTTCTATTCAGTATCCGGTTTC